AGGTTACAAAGTGTATCTTTTTACTCATTATAAAATCTAAGTCACTTAGTATGTCTTCTTTGATGAAATATGCTTTTTCAAATTAGATCATATAATAACAATATTTAGTCTTGAAGCCCTTTAAACAGTCTATTCATATGATGTCATCTTTAATGACAACAATGACTATAAAGATGCTAGACTTAATACCACAATATTATCTATGATTACTATACTATTTCTTAATAGCAATAAAGCCCCAGACATATTTATATTCATTTCAAATTCTACTTCATCAAATTGCTCTACATCAAATTTAGATCTCATATTTGTTTCAAAAGATACTCCTATCTCAGCCATTATATCCAACTTTATGCTCTATCATACAAAATTTGAAGATATTGATATTTAGTCTTCTTACAACATTAAAAATACTTCTTTTATTGAAGCAAATCTTACTATAGACTATCTTGATGACTTAATAGAGAATCCATGAAGACTCAAACATTAATAAACCAAAGTAAAAGTTTATAATAAACAACACAAAAAGGATAGAAACTCTGCCATATAGATGTCAAGATTGTGTTTTTAATGGTGATTTGAGGGAGGAGATACATATGACACAATCATAAGGATTTGTTAAAATTTAAAAAAAAAAAAACACCTTCTTTGCAAACTTTAAAAAGCTCTTTATAGACTCAAACAAGCATCTGAAGCTTGGTATGACAAAATCAACTTTTCTTTTAAATAATAGGATTTTTTCTAAAGAGAAGGCAATTACAATCTATATATTGTCAAATAAATTGACAAAATACTACTACTTTTTTTATATGTAGATAATTTACTATTCACTATCAACTATTTAAATTAAATAAATTAATTTAAATAATAACTTATATATAAATTTGATATGTTATGACTGAACAAAATAAATATTATTTTCTACCCCAAAAAAAAATATATCAAACTACTTGAAGATATCTTTATGACTCAACCCAACTATGTGCTCCAAGTCTTGAAATTTTTTAGAATGAAGAATTGTCCTCCTACTACAATATCAATGCTAGAACGGCTAAAATTAATGATCAATATGAATGCTAAACCATGTGCTTTTACATACTATCTATCTATGGTTGAAAAACTAAATTATCTCACATACAATTGCTTTAACATCTCCACAATTGTTAATATTTGCTTAAGATTTCTTCTTCTTCCTCAAAAATCTCATTTAATAGCAACTAAGCAAATAATTAGATACATCAAACATACTTCAAACTATCGCATCTTTTACCTATCAAAACTAAATACAAATATTATTGGATTTGTTGATACAAATTAGATTAGAGATATGACAGATGGTCGCACTACAATGAATTTTATTTTTAGATCAAGCTCCAATTCTATTACTTGGTTCTTAAAGAAACAACCTACACTGGCCATAAGCTCATTTAAAGTAGAATATATCAGATTATCTAATGCTTCTAAAGAAGTTGTCTAATTGGCCAAGCTCATTAGAGATTATAGCCTTCAAATCACAAGACTTGTTCTCATATATTGTAATAAGAAAGAAAATATTTGCATAGCAATGAATTTTAACATCAATCCCATAACAAAACTTATTTGTATGCATTACTATTTTATACAATAAAAAAATCCAAAGTAGCAAAATCATATTCAAAAAAATTCTTTGATTAGAACAAATTTTTGATATGTTTTCAAAAGCTTTGAAAACAAGTCTATTCAAAAAGTACAAAACAAAACTAAATTTTATCTTTTATTCTAAAGCTTTATATTTTAAGCTTCAACATATGCATTGTCTTACTTATCATCCCTAATTTTCTAACTAGTCACAAGGATCCTCATTGTTTATTAATTGTTCTACATCTACTTATAGCTAAAATTGAAAAGCTTCAATTAAAGCATCTTATTTATTGGTAGTTTATAGTGTTTCTTCTAGGTTCATCCTCTAAACTCTACCTTCATTGTTCTCCTTGACAAATCTTCTCCTCTAATCTTCACATATTGTTTATAATGGGTGCAATATTTTTATAATCCTATTATCAACCTTGAGTTGTGTGATTAACCTATAAATTAATATTTTGCCATTGATACCTTTGGTATTAAAATAAAAAAATATAGTTTTCTTCTTTGATTCTTTAATTTCCTCCAATAATATATGTTCTTCTTTTACAAACATCTCTATTTCTTTCTCAATTTTTTTACCAACTCTTTACTTTCACTTCTTTTTCCTACTCCAAAATTATTTTTGTAGGAACTTTCACTCCTAAAAATCCATAGAATTGAAACTCCACATGCTTCTCCATACTCCAATACAAGAGCATTTGGATTATAATATTGACACAGACATCAAGAAACCTACAATACTTTCTTGATAATAACTACAACAACTTGAATACAATCCTAGCAAAACAACATCAACAATCTCATCTTTATAACTCTCATATGACTTATTGAAGCATGCAAGATTATTTGCTTCGTAAACTCCTTGTTCTTCCATAATACAAGTAACAATTGTCAACCAAGACTAAAACACTAACAAACCAACTTGACACATGAATATTCAAATTACTCAACATAAAAGGAATCACAACAACACAAAGTTCATATAACTCCATCTATATGCAACTCACTTACACTTTCCAAAACCTAGAGCATCGGCACCAACTTACTTTTTATATAACATATCCTAATATGCAAACTTTATTTGTTTCCTTCCTCTTCCAAAAATGATTGTTTTAGCAAACACAATGATTAATTTGCAAACCAAGTAGAGCCACTCCTTTGTCACTATTCAATGTGACTATTCTTTGAGAAAAAAGGCAATTCTCTTACTAAAACAATGTCACTTGTCATCATGTCATCATTTGCTAAGTGACAAAACAAAAGAAACATCCATCTTGGAGATTTTCAAGGAATCACCATGATAAAAATAAAATTTCACTTCTAAATTTGATTTAAGCCACTCACCCTCAATGCAAAGTTTGAAGCAAGAGGGGATGTAGAACAATTAACACAACTCTGCCATCTCTCATCATCCATCCATAGATGAAGACTATAATTAGATCAACCTCATATTGTTGCCGTTGAGATCCGGAACTATAGGATCTCAACCCATGTACTTATACCCTGTGGTTTAATAGTGGTAATGAGTTGAATATATGTTATTGGTTGGTCTCCTTGAATCACTCTCTTGGTTCTTTATGTTTATCTTGTGTTTATTTCCTTACCATTGCCTATTCATATGATTGCAAAACCACTTCCAAATATCATGTTGAAGTTAATGCGAAGTGAGACTAGGGCTTCTCAGATGCAATGTCAAGAACTTTATAGAGTGGGTGCTCAAGGTGTAGTTTAATTGTAAACAGTGCAATTTATTAATTTTTTTATGACAAGATTTTGTTGAAACTGATTCCCTGAGCTCGAAGGAGGAAGCTTCTTATACTGCTATTTCCTGCACTTATTCAACTCAATGCATGTCACCATTTAGACACTGTTGATCATAGATTTCTTACCTTAAGAGATTCTGCCAAAGTCTGGCAAGGTGGAAGAGGAGGTTTCACATGTTGGCTTCATGAAAGGTCCTGTGAAAAAATTGCCACCTTCACAAAAAACCTTTCTGAAGTTTTTATGCAAATGGGCAGTATTCTCTAGCATTCCTCTAATTGATTACTGATCAGTTCTGGATTGTGCTTGTGCAATACTTATCAAGCAGCCTTTCACTACAAACCCTTTCTATTCAGATCAAATTAAACATATTGCAAAAAGCAATAAATGGTTGCTTAATCATATCAAAAACTACCAAGAACCTGTAACCTACTCCAGGGAGGACTGGCACTACGTTGACGTCTCAGGGAATACTTCACTTGCCTGAGCTATGAGTCGAATTACAAGACCACTGAGTGTTTGGCGAAGCTTTCTTCCAAGTAATCAAATGCTACCAAGCTCAGAATGTTGTGAGATACGGCTCTCATCTATGTTGTCAGGATTAGGAGGGCAGGCATAACAAAATTAACATTGCAGCAGCTTTGAATACACTGAGCATGTCATGACCCATACGGAAATTTTCCACCGCGAAGTTTGCCCATAGTCTTACCAGTGAAATGGGAGTTTGTGAGCTGGTTTAGAAACACTTTCTCATCCACCTCCCAAAGCCACAGCAGAGTGCAACAATATTCGAAGAAAGCCTTTTGCGTGCCCCCTGTTTTTCAGTATAACTCCTCCAATCATTCAAAAACTTCATTGCCAATGCCCTGCTTTGTATTTTATTTTCCTATAAGTTCGAAGTGATTTCACCCCATCCTGAAAACCCAACAACGTTTCCCACCGCTCATCATCATCGGACTAATCGGCACCTTTGATGAAGTATGCAGACAGAGTATGTCCATAATCTGTGTAAGCTTAGGTTTTGTAAACTATTTGGTGTTCGCTGAAGGATGGAAACCTGGTACTGTTAACAAAAGTTCCCTTGTCATGTTGTTCTTGAAACAAGCCAAACCCCTCCACGGATTCTGAGTTTTCATGAATCTACTTCCAATACGCAAGCAGAGCTAAACAAGAACTTAAGAGCATGAGCAGGTGAGAAATTATTTATATTACAACCATTAATTAACATCTTTTTCTCAGAAGTCTCTTGGTCCTCTTCATATTAACGATCTTTTCACATGAGACCCATTTCTCAAACAGTGAAATTCAGAATCCAAATGCTCACGATGTTCTTTCTGAAAATTAAGCACACTGTGTACAACTGTAAAGTATTCATTTCCAAACTAAATTGTGGAGAAATGCCTTATTTCATTAGTAAAGCAAAGAAACTCACCAGTTTTGCAGAACACGGAGGTCTCACACAACAGAGATCGTTGAAATGTCGAGAGGAGGAAGACATGGGTCTTGAATGGTCATTCAAAGGGACTTGCTGTAACAAGCGAGCTATTTAAAATTTGAAAGCTACAACTTCACTGCATGAATGTACACCACAAGGCTGTATTGGTTGATCAGACAGGTTGGAGTTGAAGTCGTCACTCTGATAAATTAATAGCAGTCCATTACCACGAATATTTACATTGAAGAGTCGCATATACATAACCATACCAGATATAACACAGGGGATACTTCAGTTCACACCAATGAATCCTAACGTATTATTACGTTACCTTGGAACAAAGGTATGGTGGTGCTATGCTGCTGCATTGATGGTTCTACGATCACATAATTTTATTACCTTAATTTCGCACTTGTAACCTTTATCCCTCAACCAGCACACACAAGGTCTTACAAATCTATCATTTGTCTTTGTACAAGGGAATTAAGAACCTCTGGTTTAATCGTAACGATTTTGAAGTTCCGATTGTATATCCTTTACAAGAGAAGCCATTCGTTGTTTGGCTGTGATTTCTGTGGTCAAATTCAACCACTCATTGCATTGTTGTTCCACCTCCTCTCGCTTATGCTTAAAATGCTCGTAGATAAGGTTTGAAAACATGGAGTCAGGCTTTCGTAATGGTGCTAGCACGGCTAGTGACAGTGTGTGTTCCCGATGACGCATATTTTCCCTCTCAGCTTGATCTGTGCTTTTCTTTTTCTCATACCCAGGTTCATTGTAGTATGGGTCTCGTACAAATATGAGAGATTGGATAGATACCAACACTTGTAATAAAGTAGATTTACCAGGAGTCCATCCGGGTCCACTCCATGTACCCAACAGACTTAAGCAGATCTTACCCGTATCGTAAAGATTTGGATTAAATCGCACTTTGCCACCTCCAGTAGTTAGGAAGTGCACAGAAGGTGGAACTTGAGGATAATCTGTACAAATCAAGAGACTGAATCACTCTCAATGTTCTAGCACAGTTTTCCACAACAAAGGAGATTACAAGTATAATCGAACTAAATAGTGAGGCATGAAAATAAAGCAATTCAAGTGTTTCAAATCAATAACTCGTGCTTACCCGCAGGCAGAAATATGTCAAAGAGGAAAATCCCATTCTGGTATGGAGTACCATTCGGGCCTATGATCAAAGCTCGTAAGACATCCATACGATTTTCGTCAACACAAAGATGAATCCCAGATTCCCATTCCAAAGGTAATGTTGTTGATAATGATGACACCTCCTTCACCATATACAACATGCGCTTCTGGTTGTGAATTCCTCTCTTGTCAATAACCGTTGATTGGGACGCCTTTCCTGCAATTTGATCTCTATAGTGATGCCTATACTGCCCATTCTCATCCACCATTTTAACCTCTTGAAACTGTAGTGGCTTAAGTTTCTCTTTATAGATCGCAACTCTTGAATCCCCGTCTTTTACTCCTGATCTCTTTTGAGTCGGAACTGTATCATCTCCCAAGTCTGAAGTTTCAGGAGTCATGGTCGTATCTCCTTGCAGTAATTCGTAACAATCACATATGTCTTTGGCGAGGTTGATATCCATTTGAGCAGCCACATCAGTGGTTTCGTTAGCTTGAAAGCGCTGCAGCATGACCTGCAACATGAAATCGCATTGAAGTGGAGTTTTTTCAAAATTCAAGACTTCTAAATAAAAAGCATGAAAAAATTTGCATCACTTTCCAGCACTGGTCTTACCTTTGCCTGCCTGTAAGTGTTTTTCATTTTCTTGGGAACTGTGTTCTCGTCATCAATCACCTTATCACCATTCAGGTTGGTTTTATTTCTCTTGGATGCGACAGCACGGTTAGCCACCCAGACTAATTGATCGTCGGAAACTCCAGTCTTGTTCGATTCCGACAAAATGGAAGCCAGTTCCTCGCAAAGCTTTACTTCTTTCAAAAGTGTAATCTGCATTAAGGTCTGATTAGCAACTCTTCCCAATATCAACCAAAATGACTTCCAACAAATGAATCGACCACGAATTGATTAAAATGAAAGTAGATCCTACCATTTTGTTGTACAGGTTCCTCCTCTCTGAGATGTCTAACATGGAATCATTGGTGGCCAAATGGCATAACACGCTCCTCAAAGTGTTTCCCACTCCAAGGAACACACAAATTTCTGGGGGCAAAAGAGAGCGACGCCCTTTTTCGTCATAACATTTGTTTTTGTTCAAAGTAATGCCTAAATAGTCGAAGGCAGCCGAAACTCTAGTATCAAGTTCAGACTCCTTTTTTTTAGCTGCAACCAACATATGCTCTGCATTTTTATTGTTTTCTGTGTTATCTCCACCGTAACCTGTCGCATAAAATAAGTTGAGTTAAGAAAAATCATGTGGAAGCAAAAAAAAAAAAAAAAAAAAAAAAAAAAAAAACTCATAACTTATGAGTGCGGACACTGTCTTTCAAATTCATTGGCGATACACATGCTCAAAAGAATAGGACCTGTTCCGGCGGCCCAGATTGTAGAAATACTAGACCTTGATGAGGTCTTGCGTTCTGATGTATCCTGCATTAATAAAAACCCATCTTTCATTGTGTAATGCAAAAAACCAAGTCGTGTAGAAATCACAAAAATAATTCATACGACATATTGTCTGTCAAAAAATCAACACATATGTTATCAAAAGACACTTCGTGACCGGATCAATAGCACAGAAATGAGATGAACTGAAACAGCTGGAGATTAAGATAAGCCAGGAGAAAAACTTGAAGAGATGATTAACATCATTAAATTGCAATAAAAGAAAACTTGGATCACCTGTTTTCCTCGTGAAAGGATTTTACAAGCCTCCTCGAGCTCCACCATACATTTGTAAACCATAAATCTCCATTTTCCCGTACAATGCGTATGCAATTTGTTTGGATCACTCTTGATTCGACTTACTGGCATTTGCTTCCCACAAAAAGCACACCAGGCAGAGTCACAACTTGTGCACAACCAGAATACTCTGCTTCCTTCTTCGATGTATCCCACTGAGTGCAAACACGATGCCACACACATTAGCTATTTTCATTTCTTTCTTTCTTCTCCTTCTTTTTCTTTTCTTTTTTTAATTTTTTAACCTTTTATTTTAAAAAAGCATTTCTACAAGTATTATTATTTATAGCACAAACCTTTCCCTTAAATTTCTATATTCCAACATCTACAGATAAGCGTGCACGTCAAGGACTTGTTGTACAAACCTTGCTTTTATACTCTTCTGTTAATAATGACCAAAATTAAGCAGCTTAATATAGATCAATTCAGATTTTTTCATCGCCACTTAAACTTCAATTCCATAATGCACAGCGTGTGCGCCCATTATCCTCTCAAATTACTCTATTCAACATGATCATTAGATTAGGATTCTCATCGACAGAAGGCCATAAAGAGCAACTCAATCAACCAATCGTTAAAAGTACCTTCAGGTATGAGCAGATCTTTCATGTTTTTCACGGATAGGATTGCGCTAGGCTTCTTCTGATCACATTTAACATTCCAACAATGCATGCGATTTTCTTGAGATAACGTCGGCCTCGTAAGAGGCGCAAAATAATTGCTATAATTCGAGCCAAGCCATCTTCCATAAGACCGCACTCTTTTTTCTCCAAGAAGTTCCTTGAAGTCTCTCCAGGAAAGTTCCCCCGAGCAACTGTCCAGAGAAAAAAGAATTCATGAGTGTTGTGAATAATCAGTACAAATTTTTACTGGAGCTACTCAAGCCTCTATTTTGATGTAAGGAGAATCTAACAACATCTCCCTCACAAATTTGTGCAGGACATCCATCACATCAGAAAATAGAGAAGGGAAAAAGGTTAGGATCAATCGCATCCCAGCCACTGTCAGATTCTTCAACACACAGCGCACTTCCCAGTGACACGATTACAGCAAACTTTTAGCTTTGTATCTCACTTGTTTGATTTTGGATGAAGAAACCTGATCGGATGTCAACTGAACTCAACAATTGGAAACTGAATATTATAAAGAACCCACATGCAATGACTGAGATTAGGGCATGCAGTTGTGTACCTGGGCTTGGGACAGCGGGAGCGAGTTGCAAGAACCTCTAAAGAAGGGTTATTGGGTTCTTTCACAATCTTAGAGACGTGTTCTTTGATACAACTACGACAGAATCGATGTCTGCAGCTTGTAATGAATGCCTCCTCTGCTTTTGATAAGTGACAAAGACAGCATTCATCAACATCTTCTGCGCACAAAATGTGAAGGTTATTTAACTTCAATCGACACCCACCAATAGCTCCATACATCGATCCTAATCATTGACAACCTAAAATAGTTATGAACCTGATTTCCCAAGAGCAAATACTTCTTGGTGCAAATAATTGACTGAATATTTTTTCTATAGTTTGGAGCAGTTCTTCGTTTAACTAGATAAAACTTCACCGAAAGAAGCAAGTATGCAGATCAATGAACAATTTCCTTTCCAGATGACCACTACTTACCGTCACCAAAAACATCGATCAAGGTGGACTTGAATATAATCATGGTTGCAAAGATTATTGATTTGACGAGTATGGTAATAATGGACCAATTTCTCAAATTTTTCTATGCGAAGCTAAAAACGAGTATGACAAAAAACATAAAAAAATAAAAAATCTGACGCTTGGTCTTCTTGACGAATCAAACACGAGAGGAAAATGTAGGAATTCACTGTATAGAATGAACGTATTCTTTCAGGTAAATTGATCAGCACCATTGACACATAACTTCCGATTAATCATACCCTCATTACTAACAAAAATTAACCATTGTATAGGATAGAGGACAAATTCTCAGAGAAACTGAACACAACGACAGCAAAAACTCACTGATAGCATGTTAACTTGCGTAACATGCTAATTTCGCAAAATAGCGCCTGCACAAGTTTCGAGACGAGAGAAGTGACCAATTTCATGCAAATTGCGAGTATAACCACCAGAAACTACAACGTAAGATGAGAGTCGAAATCCCTGCACTATTTTTAACGTCACCAGTCATATGTGTTCGATTCCACTATTCAATATGAACGCTGTGCAGTACCACTCTTGTTAACGTCACACGTCATATGCATTCGATTCCACTATTCGATATGAGTATTGTGCACTACAACTTAGTGCAGTGCGACTTAGTAAACCTTATAATATTCTGATATTGGTACGGTCATGTGCAGAGTATCAAACCTTGACTCAAAACTATCATGTATCAATACACGCCGAACATGTACTAACTCGTGAGAGCTGCACATGCGTATAATTTAAAATGCTCAACACCACAAGAGTTCTATTCAACGAACAACAACCTATGTGCAGGAGAGAAAATTATTATGCGTGTAGAATCAACTATCCTTCAATCGATCCGTGCAGAAGAGAAAGACGACTAATTACTTTTACGGAGTCCATGCGAAAAACAGCCAATTTACAATTGTGTGCAAGCGGTTCAGATGAGATACCTTCGGCGTTTCCTCTAGCCGAAAGATAAGTTTCTTCAGCCTCGCAAGAACACTCAACATCGTTCCCGTCCACTGCACGCTGCCGACAAGTGCTCAATCCCGTTTCATCGCAGACATCGGCTTTCTTCGCCAAATTCTTCGACGAGATACTGTCGAAATGCTCTATGTCGTTACCGATCGCGGATAATTTCGGCCACGCGCCGTCTACCTCTTTTGTCACGGGTCGATAACAGCAGGAAATGATGTTACGCAACTCCACGAACAAGCCGCTCTTGCCACTCCCAATTCCACCTGCATGCATCAGGCCTCCACCTTCCTTAGCCCCTTTCTTCAATCCTCGCCCTCCTTCCATCATTTCCGCACGCTTCTTGCCCCTGTTAATTCCGCTCGAGCAAAATTGAGGACCTACCGCCATAGCCAGAAACTGAGCACACTGTGTACAAGTCCCTCGCGAAGCCCACTCCTACGTTCTTGGACCAAAAACAAGTTGGCTCCCCAGTCTCACTAATCCTTTCATAACTCCCTCGTCTTCACTAATTTTAGGTGCCAAGCCACTAATCTTCACTTGCCACTCCCACTCCTCAAAACACCCGAACGGTTTAGTGAGTCATGAGCTTCAAGCCGACTACCAATTACCCATAACTTTCTCCGACTGATATCTCTGACTAATAAGTAGTTACCGGATAGCGACTTCAATTGTGCAGCGTTGTGCCGACTAGAGCTCCATCCCGTGCCGACGCAAAAGTATTCCTTGGCTTTTTCATTGATTTCACCGAAAGCATAAGATCATTCCCGACGACGGTAAAATTTAACATGGGAATCGTTGAATCCACGCCCGGAACGAGAATAGAAAGTGTTTTTAAAGAACAACGTGGCCGATTTATTTGGGAACCCTGGTTTGACAATGCAGACGCTAATACAGACATTGGGAAAAAAGCATTATTAGTGTTCATCCAGCTTCTCTGTAGGAATCATACCCTAAAAATAAAATAATATAGATCTCTGTAGCATTGAACATTGAACTGACCTCAGATGTATGATTTTTGCAGACAACGTAGACTTTCTTCCAGAAATGATGTTATGATCTACCGCTTCTCTCTCTCTCTCTCTCTCTCTCTCTCACACACACACAACCTACCTACAACTTAGACTTCGTGTATTAGATATGCGTGTGCTTGAAAATCGATTTTCATGTTCGATCAGCTTACCACTTCATCTGGCTCAGCTTCTGCTGTTCCCGATACTTGCGCTGAAAGGCAGGAACCTGTTGTGAATATTCTATGAATCAGCCTCCAATATCAGGAGAAATATCTGCTGCGGACTTCGAGTGCCAATGTGCCTTCATCCATGCAGCTTGCTCACATCTACATGTCTAGGTTTACTGGAAAAAATCTTCCATGATAGTTTTTTGTTCGCAATGCATCAATCAAATCAAGTGTTGAAGGTGATTGAAGCTGATTTGAATCGCTCTCTCTATGTGTCTTCCTGAAAGACAATTGTCATTCCAAATGGTTGGTCGCACATGTATCGGGCATTAAAATCTGTATTGTAGGTAATGATGTCAGGTTCATAGCCTCTTTATTTCATAATCTCACTGATTTGCTGAACCCTCTGTCATCTCCCTTAGACAGCAATTGCCCCAAAAATTCCATTGAAAAGATGAATCAGATTCAGATCTTAACCTTTCCAAGTAGTATCATCACAATCACTCGTGAAATGCGGAAGCTGGCCATTTTAAATAGAGAAGAATGTCACCGCATAATATACACCTGCTGTTCAAGCCAATAATCAGAATTAAGATACCAAATTGCAAGATGAACATGGTAACATTGCAAACTGAACTGAAACTCTAGATGATCATTCGTATTCATCCTGACAGCTTCAAAGCCTGTAGGGTATCGATTGTCAAATATTGGTAAAATCGAAATGCTATTCATAATCTGCAGACACTATAAAAGGCCAAAAATAAACATTACTCGAAAAGTCAAAACAATAAAAACAAGAGTGGCGTAAGAGTTACAAGCAAGTGGCACAAACACACTTAGACATGGTCGGTTGCGAGCTTCCTTTCAACTCTGGAGGAAACTGCTCATGCAACTTTCACTTAAGTTGTATCGAGAACCCCAAGCACAAATGCAAGCACGTGAATATTATCAGTGAAACATCTTCGGAGATCCAGCCACTCGCAAAGCTCCAGCTGACATTCACTCACCACTTGAAATCACGCAACCAATGAGACCCCAAATTCAAACAGAACGAGGTCACTATCGTAGCATGGGCTCACATCCCGATCTCTATGACCGATGCAGACTCCAATCGCAAGCGATGAGCGGGGCAGCGGTCGATGCGGTTGCAGGGTTTGCTGCCCCCGATGCGGCGATACTTTTGCATATCCAGAGACTCCGTAATTTCTTCAGGCAGCGAAGCTCCAAGATGGTTAACGTTAGATCTCCACTCCCGAAATCTGCACTCTGTTGTTCTATCAGTGATCACCGATGGTCTTGTCAAATGCAAGGCGACTTAGATCGCGCTGCCGTGCTCTCTAATGCATTGCGTTTCTGTGTTTCATTTACTGTGGTGGTGTTGATGCGTGAAGGAGCGATTCGATGAATGAGGGCGGTGCATCTCCTCGCCCAACTGTGCTCCGATTCCTCGACGTGGATTTTGATGTATTTGTGTAATGGCAGGAAAGCTCCAACGCGGGGGACGACAGCGGACGACAGTGCCGGGAATCTACGAACACTCCACGGGATGATCTTCGGAGTGCCGGGAATCCGCGAATCTATAAATCTCTTGGAATCTGTTTTCCGGAATGAAGATTTGAAAGCACGTTTAAGTTGCTAACTATGATTCTTCATGTTTTTAAATTTGTTTCTACAAAACACTAATTGATACATTATTGATGTATAGACAATATAAACTAGCATTGGAGTTCCTTTCTTTGTTTCTAGAGTGACATGTTTTATTTTTTCATTCATGAAAGTAAAATAACATGTCATAAAAAAATTGAAATCCATTTTAATTACATAAGCATATTTCTTATTATTTTCGTGTGTAATTTTCATATGTTTTCAAAAATTGTCTACATGTGTTCATGTACTGGCTTTTTTCTTTTTTCTTTTCCCTTATTTTTTCATTATTTTTATTATTTTGGTGTAATACAAACTGGATATGTTTGTGTGATTCTTAGTTGTATTGTTTATATTGTCATTCATTGTAGCAACTAGTAATGAATATTGATTCATTGCATACAAAATCAACATTTGTAGCACCAAAAGCACCTGTTACAATTCAAAAATTATCTTACATACAAATAAACACATTTTTCCTTAACACACAAGATACATATAATTAATTTAAAAATAAAAATCATAATTATATGCAATATAAATGATTTTTTTATTCTCATATTAGTATGTATTATTAAAATACTTTTTGTTTTAAAACTTGGTATGAATGAATTCCAGATTTTAATACTATATTTTAAACAATCCTAGAAACTATATAAATAATCAAAATATATATATATATATATATATATATATATATATATATATAATTTTAAATTACAAATATATATCTCTTTATTTAAGTAATCGTCTATTTATATCATAAAACAACTTTTTTATTACATTCATATATATATATATATATATATATTTATATATATATATATATTTATATATATATATATTTATATATATATATATTTATATATATATATATTTATATATATATATATATTTATATATATTTATATATATTTATATAATATCAATACATAATTTAATTTTTTTAAGGTGTCTAAATGCCCTTTTTCACTCTAACATTTATTTATTTATTGCCACAATAATCACATACACACTCACAACTACACAACTACACATATCCTGTTACTAATGGTTTGGTTAATAATGCTTTTATTTAATATGTTTCAAATATATTTTTGCTTAATAGGGCTTTTTCTTAGAATCAATAGAATTTTGTTGGATTTTATATGTAGATTCTTTGAAAGATAAAAAAAAAAAAATACAAAAAAAAAAAAAAAAAAAAAAAAAAACTATTGTATATTGTAATCATAGTTTAGTAAAAATAATCACATCTAATATGTTTTTATAAGGTTTTGTTGATTAAATTACACTTTATGGAATATAATCTTTCTTAAGCAAATCCTCAAACTATCATAATATTTAAAATCCGTAATTTGAGGTTTAGTATACTTTTTAAATGTTTTATGATTACCTTCATTACTATCTAATACATAAGTCTAGTTTTAGAAATATATTGTTTTAAAATAATTAGAAAATATGTTAGATAAATTATTTTACTTGCCACTGCAGAAATAAGTAATTTAAATTTTCTTTACCATATAACACATTACGTTTTGCCTTTAACCGTAATAAACTCTTCTTTCAAAATTTACAACAAGTTCTTGTTAGCTTTTAAAAAAAACTAATCTTTTTATAAATATATATATATATATATATATATATATATATATAAATTTAGAAGTGTTTTAGTACTTGTTCAATATACTTACATCATGTAATTCTGATGGATTCTTTATTAAGTTTTTAAAAAAACTATTTTAAATCAATTTCATAATTTTCTCAAACAAATTAACTTATATTATTTTTTAGGTTAGAATTTTTTCTTTTTTATATTTAAGAATGTGTAGATATATTTCTAAATAATTATCATGTCAAAAAATAAAAAAATAAAAAAATAAAAATTATTGCATTACATACAAGGAATAATCAACTTCACTCATAATAAAAATCTTCTTTGACAAAATACATGTTTTTTTAGTCAAATAGATGTCATAATTTCTTAAGATTAAGTTAAGATTTTTGATAATTTAATAATATTTTAAAATTTCAGACCACTATTTGATATTAATAAATAAACATATAAAACAAATATTAGCATTTTGATTACTTACTTTTGAAAAAATATGACTTCTTTACACTTTACGAAGTGACTCATTCTTTCTTATAGAATATCATCTTTCACTCAATAGTTGGTCTCTTTGCTCAACATCTTGTCCAACTTTTATATCTTAAGTGGTATTTTTGTTTATTTTTTAAATAGAGAAAATCTTCTTATTGTTTAATCTTTTTTTTTTTTTTTTTTTTTTTGGTTTTAATTCTTTGCAAAAAAACGTTTTTCAATATCTAGATTGGAAACAATAGAAGATTTAATTACAAATGCTATTAATCTTACTTTGACACATTTCCGAAAAAAATAACAAGTTCTTATTTGCTTTAAAACTCAACATTATGATTTTTAATAATCTTCTTGTTGTATAATAATATTAACATATATGCCATGGTATCTTTACAATAATCCAAGAATATTCCTTTTGTACCTTTTGCATAAAATTTCACTATATAAAATTTAATATCTTTGTATAAACAATCTGTAAATTAATATTTTTTTAAAGAAAGTAAGGGGGTTTTTTTTTTTTTTTTTTTTTTTTTTTACTTTAATCTTATATTCAAGACAAGTGTACCAATTAGGCATATACTTTATATTTTGTCTTACTTACATAATCTAAGTATTGAGCACAGAGAGTCTTTATTATTATTTCTACAATGGTCGAATTTTGTCCTTTGAACAACTCCATTATATTGGTAAGTTTATAGTCTTATGATTACTACTTTAATAAATAAATAATACATGAAAATTCTTAAACTTATATTCACTTCTATATTCTATTTGTGGTAATTAGATATTTATATATAATTTTTTATCTAAAAATATTGTAAATTTTTCAAATATATATATATATATAATAGTATTGATAAAGATTAGAAAATACATAGATCTTTATACTAATTTAGTTTTATAGCCCTAAAAATATTAAAACAAACTATGTTCAATAACATATTATTATGTGTTGCTACACTATTTGAAATTTAAGTTTTTAATTTTTTTTTACTTAATAAATTCTTTGTAAAATTATGTCTAGTATAATAAATATAAAACTGAGTTATAAATTATTTATCATAAATTAAAATTAATTTCTGTTTTTAATATTTGAATGACTATAGAAATAATATTGAAGTCTATATTTGTCTTTATGTAACACAAACTTTGCACATACCTTTATTTATACTCTATTCACATTTTTTTAAATAAAAAAATATTTTGTTATTTTATTTATTTCTTAGTAAATATATCTTAATTTAAGTTCTTTCTATATAAATATATTCAATATGGAAATCAATTATAAAACCTCCCATAAAAAAATTGAATTTATCTTAGATATTCAATAAAATAAAAATAAAATAAATAAATCTTAAATTTCATCTAATTTTTTGTCAAATTTACAAAGAAAATTATTATAATATAATATACAATTACAGTAACAACCGTGCAATCTACAAGGTTAGAAGTAGTTGGAATTGTCATATAAGTGTCAAATAACACACTCAAAAAGTAATACCTAAA